GCTCTGGGGTCGCCCCTTCCTTGGAGAAAGGGTTTCTATGCAGATGTTTTACTTTTTTAATATGTGTTTTTATTGATTTCAGAGAGGAAGGGAGAGGGAGAAACATCGATGATGAGAGAGAATCATGGATCAGCTGCCTCCTGCACGCCCCCTACTGGGGATCGAGCCCACAACCCAGGCATGTGCCCTGACATGGAATCACATCGTGACCTCCCGGTTCATAGGTCGATGCTCACCCACTGACCCGCGCAGGCCAGGCTATGCAGACGTTTATAAAATATTTTAATCCCTCGGAGGTGCCAGGATAGAGGGAGACACTTCTCCTTGGATGTAGTCAGCAAGTGACATTCGCCTGAATTCCATCAAGTTCAAAGATTGTGCAAGTTCCACACCCTCGGGAGCTCAGTGCCTGCCTGCCACCTGGTTGAGGCCTCATGCCCAGCCCCTGTCGTGTCGGAAGGACCCAGTGTTGAAGGGTCTGGCAGGGTCGGATGAGAGGGAGCGAGGGAGGGAGGCGCGAGAAGACCCGAGACCCCGAGCAGCTGTGCAGCAGCAACAGAAGAGGCTGAGAAAGAAGGAGCCGATGTGCAGTGTTTCTGACAGCTCATCTCCTCTGCAGGGTGGGTCTCCCCGGCTCTGCACCCCCACCTGCCAGTGCCAGGCAGCCCCCCTCCGCCCCCTTGTTCTAGCCCCTGAGCTGCCCCTGCTGCCTTTACTGCAGTCACCCCCTCCACCTGCAGAGCTCCTACTCAACCTTCAGAACCTGGATCAAATAACCCCTTCCTGGGAAGCCGCCTCCCACCTGTGCCACCCCTTCTGGCCCCCACCACCCCTGGCGGCCAGGATTCTTACGCACAAAGCTGCAAAGATTCCCGGCTCCCCCGCTAGCTGTTTTCTCACCACAGTGAGATGTGTTTCTGCCTTGCCATCCAGTCCACACATGCACATGTTTAAACAACTCCAGGAGCCTCACAAACAATGCTTCTGACCACACGCTGCAGAAGCCAGGATGGCCCCCGCCTGCAGCCTGACCACCACCCCTCATACAGTGGTTCTCCACCTTCTGGCCCTTTCAATACAGTTCCTCATGTTGTGATCCAACCATACAATTATTTTCGTTGCTACTTCATAACTGTAATGTTGCTACTGTTATGAATCGTAATGTAAATATCTGATATGCAGGATGGTCTTAGGCGACTCCTGTGAAAGGGCCGTTCTACCGCCAAAAGGGTCGCGACCCACAGGTTGAGAACCGCTGCCTCAGGAGGACCTGGGCAGGGCTATGTCCTTGGGCAGGCTCAGGGCCAGGGCCTGGGGAGCCCCTGACGTGCTGTGCTTGGTTGCAGGCTTGCCCTGGTGTGGGGGTTCCCAGCTCTCCATCCTTGGGGGTCCACTGCCCCAGGCCTGCCCAGGCCTCCCTCTGGCAGGGGCCTGGCGCCACCTGCTGGGATAGCACGGGCAGTGCGGCTGAGTTAGTCGCAGGTACTGGTGATTGGGGCTCAGAGTCTGGGGATAAAGAGGGCGCCCTCAGCGGAATCCCACGGATCCCCGGTTGTCCATGGCAGAGCTGAGTCACCCCGACACAGAGACGCAATGGCCTGCAGGTCCGGAAACCTGGTCTCTGGCCTTTCAGGGACACGTATTGACTGGCTGTAAAGGACATTTGTTCTTGCTGTGCCCGGCGCCTCTTTAACGGCCCTGCAGTCACCTCGACAATCAGAGATTTCCCCCCTTGGCTCTGTGCTGCCTTAGTGACCAGATCCTGAGACCTCAGGGACCCCATGATTTCCCGGGGTGGGGGTCACAGGCAGCTGTACAGCATCCACTTCCCTCAGCACCCAGCTGCTGTGCTGAGGGGGAGCGTGGGGGAGGGCGTGGAAGAG